AGGAACAATGAGTCATAGATCTTATTCAGCAAAGTTTTAATCTGCTTTTGTACGGTTGAATCTTCAATAAATCCAGTCAGAACATGCAGGAAGTATGGGTCAGCGATTTTTCATCGCCCTCAAATGCTGCAGGTGCCTATAGTGAAGTCAAATACCTCGCAACTGTTGATAATTTAATACTAGTTTCGTTGCGGACAAATCTGCACTGGTCCAGCCGGCATAGGAACCGCACACAAGTCCATAGTTGAAAAACGATGTAGCACTATGCTACCCCTGAATATCGTAGTGTAAAAGCACTCAGCTTTTAATCACAGAATTCGATGCTTCCTGGTGACCCCTTGATAGCGGCTAGACCTGCACGGAACAGTGCAAAATAATATCATATAAAAACGTTCAAGAATAAAAATGATACATTAATACAGCAAACATTGTTGTTTTGACGACTGACCCTTTACTGCTTTAAACCTCTATCGATCTAACTCAATATTCACCACCAAGTTGAATCAGTCTTTCTCCAATGTTTCAACGAGTACAGATAAGACCTTGACGTTAGAGCTTGATTTGCCATATTCTTTTCCGGTGCCATTCAAGATTCGTTTTGACATTCAGTGCGATGGAAGTGGTACGACGGTGGATGTCTCAGCAGGAGCCGCAGTCAAAGCAGCCGCCGTTCTTTTGGCAAAGCAGACATCTCAATGACGTTGCAATGGGCACGGAGTGTGGGGCTGGATATATGGCCATTGAATAGTCTCTGCTAGATGATTCGTAAATACCAATGATCGAATGATTCTAATATCGTCATATCTTCGGCTCGTAGCTTCAGCTTTCACAGCCATGAACGAGGATAGGGCAAATGGCGGCCTTCGGAACTCAACACTTCGCCTGAGGACTGATCTCCCGTCTAATACTGTTCCATGACCAGGCTAGAATGACCAGTCAATCAAAAGGTCATCATTTCCACTGTTGCCTAACGGCTTGACCTGAGAAGGTAAAGGGCTAAACGATACAACTTTGACAATAAGCCAAGCGATTGCTGGGAACAAATCGTTATCAACCAACTCCATGAAACTCAATCAAAATAAGTCCTGTCTTCTTGCGTTGATACAGTGTATGCGACCAATGTTGAAGTGGAATGGTACACTGCTTTAACTAAACCTGAAACCCGGTTCTTCTGCGCATTCTAAATA